TTTCGTGCATTTTGGTTGAAGATTTGCTTTTGATGCATAGCTCTGATGATTAGTACAAGATTGTATTTTGAATTTTTGGACCTTGTGTTTGGTCATAGTAGATTTCTTGTACTAGTGGACCCGAATGTATATGAATATGTATTTCTTTGGTATGAAATATGTATAACATGCAATGTGTGGGTTGGGGCGTTACATCTTTGTCGATCACCCAGAGGGCAAAACCGGAGCCATAAGGATCCAGAGATAAGAAGATAAATTGGAAGAAAATCATGCATACAAACTAAAAAATCTAACGATTGTCCGCTCTAGAGAGTGAAAATGGAAGGACAATTGATTTATACCTAGAGTTGTACATGGTCTTTGACAAGCACGCTGAAAATTCGTCTGAGAGTCGCTCCACCGACCGGAACACTTAACCTCTATTGGACTTTTTGTCAGTTTTCATGATGCTTTGATTTTGATATCCTATCTTGTTGTCTAAAACCCCCAATTGGAACAATCACCGTAAAGTTCAGCCTTGTTAATTTAATATCTCATCTTTGAATGTTTAGAACACACACATATACCAAGATTCCGAGGCACAAAGATGATAGGAAAAAGGAAGAATAAAGTGGAGGACAAAATGGGGGTTATAAGCGGAAGTGTAAAAGGAGATACGACAGGAGAAGGGGGCCGGGCTTCACCGGGGAAGGTTTATATGTTTCAAAACGAGAGAAAAGGGCCATAAGAAATCAATCAGCTTTAAGAGAAACATGACAGAAAAGTGAAGCATTCCAATTGAGTTTCTTGTGATATCTTCAGGTCACGTGATATAAATCTTTACGATGGAATCAAGATTTGTTCATGCTATGCTTAAATACGTTATGAAAAATTTGATGCATGCTAATACCAATTTATTTTGAATATACATGAACATGAAGTATTCACATATTATGATTACTGACTAGCATAGTGGTAGTGATTATTACGAGATTATGGTTCATATAAGAATTTATTGTAAGAGCAAGACTGTTCTTGTCAGGTTTAATATCATAAGAATAGACAAGTGGGTCTGCTAAGTTGTTATATTTATCTGAGAAAATTACGTTTTTCGTCCATGTAATTTGTCAAAATTGGGGATTTCGTCCTTGTGGTTTTAAAATTTCCGTTTTCATCCCTATGGTTTGCAATTCATTTCGGTTTTCATCCCTGAGGCCAAAACACTACCTTTAAGTATGAAGAATTAAAATAGAAATGAATTGTAAACCATATGGACGAAAAATGGTAATAGATTTTAAATCATAGGGACGAAAAAAGTAATGAATTATAAATCATAGGAATGAAATTTGTAATTTCAAAAGCCTATAAACAAAAATAGAAATTTTCAACAAACCACAGGGACTACAACTGTAGTTTACTCTATAAGAGCACGAACGTGTCTTTTCGGATTATTAGAAATGAACTTCAAGATCATCAAAAAAGTCAATCATGCTAGGTAAATCACAATCATTATTAGTAGTCAACGGAATCAGGTTTTATTTGCGAAGTATGCATGCATATTTATAAAACAGATTTGGTGTTTACATTCGGAGGTTGAACATTATCGACGATTTGTTGTTATATAAGTGTTGATGCTTTCTTTAGTCACATTCTTTACTTGATACTTTTTTGAGTTACTCATTTACTTCTTCAGTTTCCATATGATTAAGTTGAATCCCGTATATACAGAAAGTATTAAAGTCTGTAAAAAGTTGGTCGTTTAGCAAACAACTGAACGTCTAGAATGCTCAATGGCGGTGTAATTCACATTAGAGATGGCCAAATGGGCCCGGCCCGGCCCGGCCCGTAACCGCCGGAGGACCGGAACCGGGACCGGTATGGACCGGTTGTGGACCGCCGGTTATGAACCGGTTATGGATTTTAACGTTTTTTA